CCCTGCCTTTCTATCCCCCCACCATTCCTTTCCCCTCCATCTCCTCCCAACTACCTGCTCCCGACCTCGGACCCGGCCTCGTTTCTGTAGTCTCTGCACTTGTCTCCCGTTAAGGTCCCAGCCTCGGTGGGGCGGAAGCGGGAGCGCAAGCAGGTCAGCGACGAAGACACCTCGCTGTCGGAGAGCGATGCCTCCCGAAAGCCTGAAGAGGAAGAGGAGGACGAGACCACGGCCATGAGTATCAATGAGGAAATGCAGAGGATGCTGAACCAGCTTTTTTTTTCCCGCCGGTGCCAAGCGAGGCTCCGGCACCAGGCTCCCTGTCGGTGCCTGCCATGGGGAGGGCAGGGGTGGGCTGTGCTCCCCTTCCCCGGGGAGGGCAGGATGGGGAGCAACAACACCCTGTGCTCTGCAGGGCGGTGGGACTGACCCCCAGGAGACCTGAGCCACCTGTGCCGTGGGTGGGAGGTGGTCTAACTCCCCTCCTCTTGCCCCACTTCCTATCTTTTGGGAGTCCCAGCCTGAATTTGCTGGGGGTCCTGACCACGGAGCCAGCCCCTTCCCCATCAACGGTTGGCTTGGGGCACGCTGGAGCTCACCCTGGCCAGACCTCCAAGAGCTGCAGCTCTGCCTGTGAGCGGGCACGAGGCTTTTGGCACCGCTGTGGCCACCTGCCTTCCCAGCTTGCTGGGGCTGACGTGCCGTTCCCTTGCCCCCAGGAGGGAATATGACTTTGAGGATGACTGTGACAGCCTCACGTGGGAGGAGACAGAAGAAACGCTGCTCCTCTGGGAGGACTTCTCCGGATACGCCATTGCAGCCGCAGAGGTGCAGGGGGAGGTAACGGTGGTGTCAGGTCTCCTTGGGGATCCAGCCCTGGGTTGGCACACTCCATCCTGCCTGAGCCTGGGAAGATGCTCCCTCAAAGCCCATCTTCTTAATGGGAATACGTAACTGCATCCTGTGAAGGTCTCCTTGTGAGACAGACCGGGGACCTGTAGCCTGAAGGATGTGCTGAATATGGTCCACACGCCTGGTGAGAGCCACAGACGTCCCAGAAGGGATGACAACCTCTGACTGGGCTGGTCTCTGGTGGTCCCTTGCTCAGGCTCTCCAGCCCACCTGCCCACTCTGCAGCAATGCTGCCCAGACAGAGGGCTCAATGTCCAGCCGAAGCCCTCTCCATCCCGCGTCTTCAGCCCTTGGCGGTCTCCTTGTGATGTGTCGCGCTCAGGGGTGGTCTGTACTCTCCAAAGCTTCTGTGCGTTGCTGGGCTTGTTGTGGGCTGCCCAGGGTGGCGAGTCCTGGGTCTCTCTGCCCCGTGTTGGCAGGACCGACTTGTGCCTTGTTTGTACTATGCCACTTATGTTTCATAGAATCACAGAATGGTTTGGGTTGGAAGGGACCTCAAAGATCATCCAGTTCCAACCCCCCTGCCGTGGGCAGGGACACCCTCCGCTACACCAGGTTGCCCAAAGCCTCATCCAACCTGGCCTGGAACACTTCCAGGGATGGGGCAGCCACAGCTTCTCTGGGCAACCTGTGCTAGTGCCTCAGCACCCTCAGAGGGAAGAATTTCTTCCTTAGATCCCATCGAAATCTCCCCTCTTTCAGTTTAAATCCATTGCCCCGTGTCCTGTCACTACACACCCTTGTCCAAAGCCCCTCTCCAGCTTTCCTGTAGGCCCCCTTTAAGTACTGGAAGGACTTTTCTTCTTCTTTTTGCAGTGCTGCCAGTTCTTTCTCTGATTTCTCTCTCTCTTGCCTTTGCTCCCTCATGTTGGACGCCTCCCTGCCTCGAAACGTGCTCTCCCCAACAGCAGGACGACAGCCTGGAGAAGGTGATCAAGGACACGGAGTCGCTGTTCAAGAGCCGTGAGAAGGAGTACCAGGAAACCATCGACCAAATAGAGGTGGGAGGAGGAGAAAGAGGAAGAAGTGGGGAGGGCATGGCACAGAGGGGGATGAAATGGGGGAGTGGGTCCCCGGGGAAGGGAGACACGGTGCTCGAGCAGGGAGTTGGTACTGGGGGCAGCAGCCTTGGGTCTGGCCGTGCCCCCTGCTCTGCACCGCAGCGTGCCCTGGGCTCACCTCCGCACCGTTTCCCTCGTGCAGCTGGAGCTGGCCACGGCCAAGAACGACATGAACCGGCACCTGCACGAGTACATGGAAATGTGCAGCATGAAGCGAGGCTTGGACGTGCAGATGGAGACTTGCCGGCGGCTCATCACCCAGTCTGGGGACAGGTGAGCTTCAGTGGGAGGGCTGGGATACCCGTGCTCTGGGTGGTGGTGAGCGGGAGCATGGGGTAGTGCTCCTGCCCTGTCCCACCGTGCCACGGAGAGAGGGCACTTCCCAGGGGCTGTTGGGCTCCTGGTGACCAGCCTCTGTGCAGGTCATGGTGCCACTTCTGCAGAAGGAGTTGGTTTTGACAGCCAAAGCCAGACACCCCTGGCAGAGGAGCTGCCGTGTGCAGGGACATCATGTAGACCCTCACAGGTGCATGGAGCCGGGGTGGCTCCGTGCTGGGGACCTCTGCGGTGGGCTTGCACTGACCCCAGCACCGTGTGCCTTGGCAGGGTCCTGCTCCGGGCAGGCTCCTCCAGCATCTCCCCCAGCCATGCTTCGTGCCCTGCACCTCTTGGCTGGTGTCCTTTAGAGCACCCTCCCCAGCACCCAAGGGTTCCCGTGGACCCACACGTGCCCCAAGGGAGCGAGAGGAGCACTTCAGCTTCTCTCCTCCTCCCTCTGGTGCCCCTGCCCACACCAAACTGGGTCCTTTCCCTCCCCCTGGGCCGTGCTGTGACCGCTGCCCTTTACTCTTCTCCGCAGAAAGTCTCCTGCCTTCACCCCGGCCTCCACCAGCGAGTCGGCCCCGAACGAAGAGAGCGAGGAGTCTGACCGTGACCCCCCCAGTGATGCTTCCATCAGATAATGGGGGGGGGACCCTGCTCCCTTGGACCCCGGAGACACGGGAGAGACTGTCAGGGATGTGGAGCTGCTGGTAAACGCCTGTTGCCCAGGCTCCCTCCTGTTTTGGGGTGCTTGGCAGATCCCACACGCCCCCTGCCACTGGGTATCTTGCAAAGGGGAATAGCTGGGTAGACCTGAGGGCCCCCACCCGGGGGGCTCAGCCTCCAGCTCCTTCCCTGTTCCCTTCCCCTGCTTTGGTCAAACGGTGGTTCGGGCAGGGAGGCTCCAAACCTGCCCTGGCAGCGTTCTCCAGGCTCCCCCAGACCCACCTCCTCCATCCTGGTACGCTTGACCTGCCCCCTGCCCTCCCTGCGCCGCGCGGAGCCCAACGAGAGCCGTACCTCCCTGCAAACTGGACCTCACACTGGTGCCGACTGGACCGAGCCCGGCTGGCCGCCCTGGGGCACCACGAGCCCCCCCCCTCCACCACCAACCTCCTTGGGGTGGGGGGCCGAGTCCCGCTCACCGTGCACTTTGCTTTGCCGCGCGTGGCGGGGCGCTGGCGCGTGTTACGGGGGCGAGGGGCTCATTAAACGGGACAGTTTCCTTTTCTACAGCTCCGCTGGCTGTGGGCTCTCCCTGTGCCACCACCGGCGCCGCGCGGCTTGGGGTTGGGGGGGTGTCCACCTTGGAGCCCACGTCAGTGGGGGCTTCCCCTGGGATG